CACATTCCTCCTGCCTTGGCCTCCCTAGTGCTTGGATTATAGGTGTGTACCACTATGCTTAGGTTTTAGCATACATTTTATCTTTATATGTTATAATTCCTCTAATAGTATGCTATGGTTTTTCTTTCTTTATTTTTTGTTTATATTGTGGTGCTGGGACGTGAACCCCAGGGGTTTCATGCATACTGGGAAAGCATTCTATCACTGGCCTATATTCCCAGTCCCTATTATTTTTCTTTTAAAGAAAATAAATAATAAATGTGACTGTTAGTTTAGTTCAATATGTATTGGGACATATTAAACTTATCAAAATTTTACTGTCAAATTTTCTTGTCAAATTCACACATGGACATTATATTGGGAAACACATTGTGTTAGTTTCCTGTGGCTGCTGTTCTTCCTCCTCTTCTTCATTTTTGTTTTTGTTTTCAAATAGAGTCTCAGTATGTTGGCCAAACTGGCCTTTAACCACTGTTCTTCTGTTCAGTCTCCAGAGCCAGAACTCTAAGTTGTACCATCATACTTGGCTTCCTGTTTCTCTAGTAAATTACCATAAAGTTTGTGACCTAGCATGACATTTTACAATTTTGGAGACTAGCTATTTGAAATAGGCCTCATTGGGTTTAAGTCAAGGTGTCAGCACAGCAGCAATGGCCACTTGAGTCTTTCTCAAGATACCATCTCTTTGATTTTGGCTCTTCAGCCTCACTATTCTCCATATAAGGCAGGTGAGATTTACTGGGGCCATGTGGATGAATCAGATTAATCTCCATATCTTAGAGTCAATTGATTAGGCTCTTTAATTCCATGTGGAACCTTAATTCTTCTTATGTAAGTTAACATAATCACAGTTTCCACTGGTTAGGAGGTAGTCATCTTTGTGGGGATAAAATTATTCTGTCTGCTACACCCATTCATAGGAAAATTAGTTAACAGATACTATACTATAATCCTCTCTATAAATTATAAAGTAGTTCAAGAACAGTTACATTATTTTACTAAAGGCAAAGTAACTGAACATCATGCACAATGGCAGTGAACATGTTAAATGGGAAGAAAGGACAGTTGATCTGTAAATTCTGGTCAGAGAATTTCCTAAGGGTAGCCTGCTCCTATCAAGTACTTTGGATTGTTTCTTGACTTGAAATGTACATTTTTCTCCTTATTACATTTTCACGTACAAATCTTAGCCTTGAAATTTGCAGTATCCCATGTATTTTTACACATTTTACCTAAATTGAAACCATTTTAATTGAAGACTCTAATGTAAGGCAATCACTAGCACACTGGTTAGGGCATAATAAATGCTACATAAATAATTAAGTGCTGGCTGAGTCCATAGCTCAGTGGTAGAGCACTTGCCTAGCATGTGCAAGGCCTTGAATTTGATATTCAGCACTAAAAAAAATTAAAAATAAAAATAAAATTGAAGACCTTACTATTTCTAATCTTTTTAAAATGTAAGTCCTTTTTTCCTTTCTTTTTTTCTTTTTTGGAGGCAATAGTCTTGCAGTGTAGCCCTGGATAGCTTTGAATTGACTATCTTCCTATCTCTGCCTCCTAAGTGTTGGGAATAAAGGCTTGTGCTGCTGTGTCCAGCTGGAGGGCACCCGTTTTTCAGGAAGAAGAATGAAGTTCAGAAATGACTCGGCCAGTATCATGCCATAGATAAAAGAGCTGGGAACTCAAACCTGCGCATTTTCCACATTGAGAACTATCTATAGAAATTAAATATATATACTTTAAAAAAAGAAATAGTTTTCTGAATCACTAAACCTCAAAATATAGTTGATTCAGTTCATCCTTAATTCATTCAATGTTTAATAATGTAAGAAGAGGAGAAAATGTCTGAGGCTTTATCATCTACTTTGAATGAAAATTTCTGGAGTATCAGATATAAATGTCTTTCTTGGAGAATTGGAAAAGATGATTTGTTCTGGTTGGAAAAATGATTACATAAATACATAGATGTGTGCTTCGCTCCTTCTGGTCTTGAAACCTGTGGAACCCACAGCTCAAATTGACTCATCAAATGCCAGAGACTGTACGCAGAAAGATTCTGAAAGATATTACCTGAGGGGTTTTGTTCTGAGCCCAATTATGAGCAGACAAACTTGGTCTATGCCTTCCTAATGTATTCTAAGAATTTATGGTAGCACTGGGACTTGACTTAAAATATCAGCAAATTTGGTAGTACAGATATTCTATTAATTATATAACAATAAGTATTAAAGAATTTCTTATATGAAAGCAAAGTTAGCTCCATTATCTGCATGTCCATAATTTATTTGGAGGGATTAAGATAATTTTTAATCCCATGATTATAGTTTACTAAATATTGAACATATTCTGGGAACACTTCATCAGTTCATTGAAATGTATTTAAGGAATATAAACAAATTCACGTAAAACAAATTACTTCACTATCAAGTACTATTTCTGTTTTCAATTTTCTTTCTTTTATACCAGTTTATGTTACATATATGAATGGGAATAGTCAAGAATTGTTGATGTTGATTGTTTTACTTACTCCGAGCTGCTTTATATGTTCTTCTATTAGGATTATACCAAAAACTTTCCACTCTTGGCTAAGTGACCTAGATTCTTTCTTCGCCTATCTCAATCCAAGAACAGTTTAAATAAATGGAACTGATTATTCTGGTTGGGGAGATGGTTGCCTGGAGCTTAATTTTTTGTCCCCAGAGTCATTTCTCAGTTTTAGGCCAACTCCCCATATTCATGATCCGTTTCTTCCTTAACCAAATACTGGAGTCTCTTTATTCTCCTTTTCCTCCCAACTCTCTACCACTCATTCTACCTGGGGATTCTTCTCAAAACCAGTGGTGAAGTGAGACAGGATTTTACAATGTTTCCCTAAGTTTCTGCTGGCTCAGGACCTCCTCCCAACTCTCCAGGCTTCTTTGTTTCTTTTCCCTCAATTTTCTGCTTTTCCAGGGAAGTCTAACTGTTTTTTACCAAGGAAGCATGAGGTGAGGTAGGGTCCTTTTAAAGTGTTTTCTTTCAGGGAGATCATTTGCATTTTTGGCTGGACATTTTGACAAATGCTTTCCAATAGATTTCATGTAATGGTACACACAGAAAATGATAGTATTTCATGGCATACATAGAATCACAGAAAAAAACTGTGGTTGTTTGTACATGGGGGCTATGAGTGCTCTTGGCCCTACATCTGGGTGTATGTGAGGGAGCTCTATAATCTGTCCTTAGTCAATTTCCCTTTCCCATTGTTGGGAAGCTGCAATTTAAACAAACTATACTTAATTAATAATTTAAATAAACTACTTTTATTATTATTTTTTTTTTGGTGGGACCAGGGATTGAACTAAAGGCTTTATGTTTACAAAGCAGGCACTCTACAGTTTGAGCTACACCTCCCTCCACTCCTGTCCTTAACTACTAAAGTACTTTTGTGTAAACAAGACATGACCTTGCATGCCAGCCATTGGGCAGTGTTGGTACTGAATTCAATAGAAGGTTTTCCAATTTGGTATGATTAAATCCAAACATATACTAGAGTGCTTTCTTCAAGGCTTAAATTCCAGAATGATATTTACCATTCTAAAGGAGGGAATGTAAACTTTCCTCCCTTTTTTCTTAGAATGTCTTGAGTCTTTTCATCCTTTAGGTCTGCATCTAGACATAATGAAGACTTCCCACATTAACTCATATGAGGGAACTCACTGGTATTCTCTCTCCAGTCTTTCTTAGGACTTTACATATATACATATTTATTTGCCTGTTTTGGGTGTTGTCATCCCTCTAAGAACATACGATCCTCGATTAGGTTTCCTGTCCACCCTGTTGACAGTTCTGTCGCAAGTACCTAGCATATAGTCTGGCATAACAATACACCCAAATTTGCTGAACGAATGAAACCGATCTTTTTGTGAAAGGCATTTCTTTGAAACAAAATTTAAGAAATGTTTTCGTTTTTCAGTTTACATGTAACTTAAGTTTTGATTTTTGAGCCTCACTGATGTTGGGTAACGTTTTGTATAAACTTTCCCTTTGTGTTATATATGGAATAACCCAGAGTAGCACGCTTGCTTGTGTTCCCCCCCCTCACTCTAATTCGAAGCCTGTCAACGTAGACGTCAATAGACACTCTACCAAGTAACTGGAAAGGTAAAGAATGAGACGAGATTTCCAACTTTCAAAGCTTAATTGCAAAGATCCCAAGTTGAAATCCATCCACATTTACGTCAAGGATCTGTCCCAAGACGAGAGGTCTAGACACATTGGCCGACTGTCCCTGAGCGCAGGACGCAGCCTCGCGTCCCATTTTGGGTAAGGGTTACTTTCCAATTGTTCAGCACGACTAGGAGAGCGAGTGAATCGCAGACCGTGCACTTCGAGGTGCGCGTTCGGGGCGTAGCCGAGCCATTTAAACCAGCGAATCCGCGCGCACCTAGTCCTCCCACCGCGGGCTCATCTCGGCAGATGCTCGAGTCGGCACCAACTCCCGACCTTCCTCCTCCTCCCCTCTCTGGGCTGCGGGGACGTCTCGGGGCGGCCGCTTCTTCCCAGGAGGATGAGGTCGAAGTTGGAAAACTGAAGTAGGTCCAGAGCAGAGCGCCGTGACGCAGCTGGAGGGACGAGTCAGAGCGCCGGAGAGGGAGAGTGGCACCCGAGCGCAGGGGGCGGGCCGGCTCGGGCCGCTCGCATTTCCTGTGACAGGGGCAGCCCCTGCCTCTCCCTCTCCCGCGGCGGCGGGACCATTTCCTGAATCGCTGAAGCGGAGGGAGAACTGGGGCGCGGCGCTACCATTAGCGCCAAGGGGAGGGGGTGCGCATAAGGAAGGGTCGAGGAGAGCGAGTACATGCTGAAACACAGAGGCTCCGTCCGGGGTGCATTTTCTAAGAAACACTCAAAAACAGTATTTCCATGGGTCACAATTCCTTTCATTTGGCAGGACAGGGTCTCAGAGTGCACAGCACTGCAGCATCCCCCCTCTTCGCATTCCGAAGTGGTTCAGCCCGAGAGGCCGGCGTCTTTCCCCCAGTTTGCCGTCCACACCAAGCGTTCGGGACTTGCCGATAGCTGTGACGGCGGCAACATGTCTGTGGCGTTCGCAGCCCCGAGGCAGCGAGGCAAGGGAGAGATCACGCCCGCTGCGATTCAGAAGGTGAAACCCGGCTGGGTCAGGGATGCCAGGCCCGTCCCGCCCGTGCGAGAGAGCCTTGGGGGCCGGGCGGGCCGGAGTCAGTCAGTCTGCTGGCCAGCCGGGGCCGGGGGTGGAGGTGGGGGCGGAGGTGGGCCTGCCGGGAAGCCGCCGAGTGTGGGAACGGAGCCGCGGGGCTGCGGCTGAGTGGGTGGCGGAAGAGGGCGAACCGGTTTTTTCACAGAGTCCTTGGCGCGTTCAGGCTCTTTCCTACAGGCACAAAAGCCCCAACAACTGCCGCCCGATTTCTCTAGGGATGGGGCGGCGTTCGGGCGGCGGGGCGCGTGCGCCCGGCGGCAGCCGCCGCGCGGGGAAGGGCAGTGTGTCGGAGCCGGCGCCCCGCGCGTCGCTCCGAGTTACTTTGGCGTCGCCCCGCCCCGCCGCGGCTGCTTCGTGCAGACTCGACTTCGGGTCGCCGCGCGCGGGGGCGAGTCCGAGCTTCGGTGGCCCGGCTCCCCTCCCCAAAAAAACTCCGACTGAGTTGGGGATCTGTGGGAAGCACTTGGGCACCTTCTTAAGAGTCAGAGGGACAGACCAAGAGGAACCCCGTGGACTTCAGGGGTGCCTCTGTCTCGATTCCCCCCCCCCCCCCGCCATTTACATCTGCCGCAGATGTCCGTGCAACGCCTTTCGCAGGCGCTGTGGCTACTGCGAGCGAGCCGTGGTCCCTGCCCTCTGGAGCTTATAGTCGCGACCGATCGTATACGTAGTGATGAAGCAGCAAGGAGCTGCGTCCTTTTTAGAGGATAGTGCTGCTGCTAATCGCTGTTCGTTCTTGCCATTTGGGGACACAAAGGTTCTTTATTATCCTCGTGTTCCAGTATTCTAAATCCTAGTGGGCTAGACTTTCAAAAGTTACTTGGTAAGTTTAGCAGCTTACCTTAAAACACTTCCCTTTTGTTTTCTGCCCCTAGAGCAAGGATGAAAACAGTCGACTTTCACTACACTTAGGGCATCATTGTATGCTCAGATCTCGTTACTATGTGTCTGTTTATTGTCAGGTTCTTCATAGTGTGGCATTTGACATTTGCCCAACTGTTGCTTTGTTTTTATGAACAAGCTGGCTTGGCAGTGCCTGGCAATATAGTGATTTCTTACAGTGCACTGGGCTGAGTCTGCAGCTTGGCAGAGACCTACACACACACACACCCATGTTTCTAAAGGGTTGGCTATTTTTGAACCCTAGAAAAGTCTGGAGTTTTTCCTTTTTTTCGAGTTTTGCTTACATAAATCTTAAGTTACTTCTCACAGATGATTAATTTATTTTTCTCTAATGGAAGAGTAACATGGGTTCCAAATTAAGTGCTTAATTTTCAGTGTCAGAGATTGCTATTAGATACCAGACATACTCTAATGGGCAAGTTTGTTAGACTGAGGAATATACTGCAGAAGAAAGTTGTGAGTTCCCTAGTTCGATATTGATTGATACATTTTAAGAATAATATTTTTGGTGTGTAGTGATCATATTTGAGAAATAGCTGCACTTATTAGAAAAGCATATATTTTTCCCAGCAATTTAAGATTAACAACTTAAGATTAACAGTTAATCTTAAATAGATCTTCATTTTTAATTAAAGCTTACCTCAAGTAAATTATTGAGCTGGAGTGATTGTGATAATTGTGTTTTCTGCTTTCGTTGAATCCTGGAAGACTGGGATGTGTTCAGGAGGAACATTTCTTGTCTCTTGATCTTTAAGCTTCTGAAACCATAAGTGGTTTGCTAGGGATAGCAAAGCTGGCACAAAAACTGTCGTCCTAATTGCTGTAGGCAGTACTCTTTTTTCAGTGCCACTCTGCTTCAATGAATTATATAACCCTTAAAGCCAAGATTGCTTAGAATTGTTGTAAGATGATAGAATGATAAGTAGATGTGGTTTTTGTTTTTAAACTTTTGGAACAACTTATAAGGTAAAATAATAGAATCTATTAAATATTACACATGCAAAAAATAGTACTTTATTATGTCATATTTGGAGAATTATTAAATGGTACAGTTATAAAACGTAGACACTAGCCACCCACTTCATTAAGGCTCTGGGCTGAAGTTTTCATGTGTTTACTTCATTCTGGATAAGGACTGACTTTCTCCTTACTTCTGCAAAGTGTTAGAATGGAGCAAAGCTGAGCTGAACTCTATTTTTACTATTAATTGGTTAAAGCTACTATTATAGATAGCAGAGGTAATTAAATGTTTCATTACAAAAGGAACTCACATTTTCCCTCTGGACTTCATTTAGTAATTCAGAGGGTGACTAATTGGAAGAGATTAAACATTATTGATTAAGTATGATATCATTCCAAAGGTATAAAATAAGACTTTCTGTAGAGAGTATGTATTTTAAAAAGACTCAGTGGATTATTTTTGTATAGCTCAAACATTTCTAGAAATCTGAAAGAAAAAATTAGTTATTGAAAGGATTAGCCATATAAACTGTGTGTTGCATATTTTTACAAGAGATTTATAGGGTTTAGTATGTAATGAAATTTTATGTGGGAAAGCTAATTCCTTAATCTTCCTTTATAATTTGTTATTAAAGTGAGTTTAAAAATACTTTGTAGCAGCAGATAGCAACATTAACAAAAAGGAATTTTAAGAGAGTTTTGTTTTATGTATTTCCATATTTGCGTTAATGATTTTGGGGATACACTTTAAAGTGTTTCTATGAGAAGTATTTGTTAATGCCCTCCTTCACATTTTATAGCTTTTTATTTTTACTTAGTGCACTAGATTTACAATAATTTCTTTCTAATTTTATTTCAGATGTTGGATGAAAATAACCATCTTATTCAGTGTATAATGGACTATCAGAATAAAGGAAAGGCCTCAGAGTGTTCTCAGTAAGAATGATAAGAAACTTTTTGTATTCCTTTTTCTGTGTTGGTTAGGTTTTTACTTTTCTTTTTAATAACAGTTTTACTGAGTGATAATTATTTTAAAGTGTACCATTCAGTGTTTTTAAATAAAGTCATAAAGTTGTGCTACTATCACCTCAATTTTAGAATATTTCCTTTTGCTTTTTTGAGGAGTGGAGGGGTACTGGGGTTTGAACTCAGGGCCTCTTGCTTGCTAGGCAGGCACTCTACCACTTGAACCTCTCTGTCAGCTAGAATATTTTCTTTATCCCCCAAAGAAATACCGTGTGTATTAGCACTTGTGTCCCTCTTCTTCCCCCTCCCAATCTCTTACCACCTCATAACCACTAACCTCTTTTCTTTGTGTAGATTTGCTTACTGGGGAAATTTCATATAAATGAATTTAGATAACATGGTCTGTTTTGAGGGGCATAATGTTTTCAAGGCTCTTTCATGTTGAAGCATGTGTCAGTTTTTTGCTCCTTTATGTTGCCAAATAATCTTCCATTGTACATTATTTATCCATCAGTAATGGGCATTTAGATTGTTTCCACTTCTTGGTTCATAATACTTCTATGGACACTTGTATACAAGTTTTTGTGTGTCTTTTGTTGATTTTTACAAAAGAAAAATTGCTTTACAGTATTATTTTTTTCCCTTATACTTAATTACCCTGTATTATAAAATAATGACTTCAAGCAAGGCATGTGGTGCACTCCTGTAATCCCAGCTTCTTAGGAGCCAGAGATATGAGGATTGTGGTTAAGAGTCCAATCTGGACAAAGTTATGACACCCTATCTCAAAACAAAATGCAAAACGGTCGAGGGTGTGGCTCAAGTGCTAGGGCATTTGCCTAGCATATGCAAAGCCCTGGGTTCAATCCCCAATACTGCAAAAAATACAAACCAAAGGGCTGGGGGTGTGGCTCTAGTGGTAGAGCATTTGCCTAGCATGCTCAAGGCCCTGGGTTCTATCCCCAGCATTGCAAAAAGTAAATAAATAAAATAAACAATGACTTCAAATTTGCGTATACTCTGATCTGTAGAAAAGTTAGATCTTTATGTGTAGGATGTTTAGTTGCTTCCATATATATAGATGAGAAAGCAAAGCTTATACTTAATAAATAGAGAATTTGTTGTTATTAATAAGGACCAAACTTTTTTCTTTTGAAGTGATGTGTTTGAAATAAATGGTATACCCTAATAGAATCTGTTGTGGTAGAATAAATTGAATATTTTATCAAGCATCTTTAGAGCAACACTGTCCTATATACATATAAATGCCAGGCACATATGTGATTTAAATTTTCTAGAAGATATAGTAAACAAGTTAAAAGAAACATCTATATATTTATAAATTCCACATAGCCATTACCTTCTATTTTTTCCCTTTGTTTAAAACTATATTATATTTGGTTACCGTAAAAAAAAAAAACCCCCCCCCCCCCCCCCCCCCCAAGAATAAAAACTGGTAGAGATAATTCCCACTGCCTTATGTCCCTCTCCTGTGCCAGGTGTAATTACTTGTAATGCTTTAGTATCCTTCCAAATATTGTTCTGTGGAGTTACATATATGCGTTCATATCTGTGTAAGTACAGATATACAGACATTTTCTAGTGTTTTTGTAGGTTTTTTTTTTTTCTGGCACTGTTGGGAGTTGAATCCAGGGCCTTGTTCTTGATAGGCAAGTATATACCACTGAGCTGCACAACCAGTCCTAGGTTATAGATTTTGAATGAAATTGCTGGGTCAGAGGGCATGCTAAATTTCCAGATTACCCTGCAAAAAAGATTGTGTAGGTTTACTTTCTTCCAACCAGGTTTTCAGAGTCCTGCTTTTCAACTATCCCTGACTAGCAGTAGCTATTAGTCATCTTTTAAGAACTTTTTTATATTCAATTGATTAAAAGTGGTGTCATTATTAAAAAACCTTAGTTTGGAAAACATTTCAAAGATTGTACAGTTCTGAATGGCCTTCACTGAAATTCTTCACATTATGACATATTGTCCTTCTTGCTCTGTTTTGTATTTCTTCCCCATATTGCTTTCAAGAAACATTTGAGAATAGTGCGGGTATGATTCTCTTTTATTTCAGGGTTTCCCAAAAACAAGAGCATATTCTTAAATTACTTGAGCATAACTGTTAAAATCAAGAATGCAGTGCTATTATCTTATTTTAGAGCTTTTATCAGATTTTGCCAGATATCCCAATAGTGTATTTTTTGTGGTTCAGAGTCCAGTGTAGGATCAAATTGCATTTAGTTGTCATGTCTTGTCAGTATACTTTATGATCTGGAACTGTTCCTTAGTTGACATTGTTGAAGAATACAGACGTTATTTTGTGGAATGTCACTCATTTAAGGTCTCACAAATGTTTCTCCATCATCAATTCATGCTATGTACTTTTGGCTGTAATATCACAAATGTAATGTTATGTCTGTTTGATGTATTCTCAGTAGCTGCATGGTAATGGTTTGTTACAGTATTGGTGATAACTTTGATCTGTTAGTTAAGGTGATGCTTACCATTTTCTATACCATAAAGTTTATTATTTTTGCTTTGTAATTTGTATGTGTTTTACTGAGAAGACACCTTGACACACATATGCTGTTTCTTACCATACTCAAATACGTTAATTTTAGCATATGCCAATGATTTTTGACCAAAATAGTTATTATATTACTGTAGTGGTTATCAAATGATAACTAAGTCTATCACTTCTTTTAAATTTATTTGGAATCTTAATGTAAGGAAGACAGTTGCTTTCTCCTCCCTCCTTTCGTTAATTTTATTCCTTTGTATCTGAATGACTTGGACCTTCTTACTTATGCTCTAGGTTATGATTTATTATGCTAACACTCTTTTTCTTTAATTGTTCCAGATTTGGCTACTGGGAGCTGGCTTCTTGGCATATCTCCATTAGTTTTTGAGTATTTCCTTATTTTCTTGCACTACAGAATATGCCAGTCTTACCCTGACTCTTTCCTGTGCAAATTTTGAATCAATCATTTTTCCAAGCCCTGATTCTTTTTTTTACAGTATGATATTTAGAAACAAAGAACTGGGCATAAGGTTATCTTATTTTCAGATCACTTATATATTTTGTATTTTATATGACCATTTATATTTATATTTATTTATATATTGTTTCTTTGATGAATCTTACCTGTATATATTTGAAAAATTCTTTTTATTTTTTTGTGGTACTGGGGTTTGAACTCAGAGCCTACATCTTGAGCCACTCCACCAGTCTTTTTTGTGATGGATTTTTTCGAGATAGGATCTCAAGAACTATTTGCTCAGGGCTGCCTTCAAACCATGACCCCCCTGGTATCTGCTTCCTGAGTATCTAGGATTACGATTGTGAGCCACTGGCACCCAGCTTGAAAAATTTTTTAAAAAATTAACCGATCTAGTTCTATAGTTTCACTATGAAAAATCATCAATGATGAGATTACTACCTGAAGTCAGGTATGGATTGATTAAAGTTTGGAGACACTGATTAGAATAATTATTTTTACCTATTGCTTTTAAGGAGCCCGGGGGATGGCACAGGACAGCTTCATTTGTCATTGAACTCAGTAGTACATGATGAAGATAGATATTAGATGTTCAGAACTAGAACCAAGGTTCACAGCTTGAGTCAGCAAAAGTTCAAACACTTTTATTCTTTACAATCTCAACTTCTTCACATATGTGTATGTATGATCATTTCCCTCAGTGTCTGCATGTTGGAATAGACCTCATAGAAATCTGTCATATTTGGTACAAATGGGGCATTAGGGTAAAAATCTTAAGTTTTATCCTTTCTGGTGAATTTCATTACTTTTTGAGTTTTTATTTGTATTTTTTTGTCCTTAAGAGATGGGGTCTGGCTATGTTGACTGGGTTGGTCCTGAATTCCTGGGCTTAAGTAGTCTTCCTTTTTTTAGCCTGTGGAGTAGTTTGGACACTTGACATACTACTGCACCCAGCTTTGATGGATTTAATTTCATTTTTACTGGTCCTCAGATATTCTTTCCTGTTTTCAAGTTGTTTGGATTGGTTTGTGAATAAAAAGAAAAAATTTCCTCCTCTCAGCCTTAAGAACTGTTCTTGTTAATTACAGTAGGAGAACTAAAGCAAAATAAAGAGAAACATTGATAAATGATAGGTATCTGGGAATTGATAGTTTAAGTAAATATGTCCTTTAGATGTGATAACTTCATCTAAAGTAGTTTTTTTTTAAGTGAAAAATAACTTTCTTTTCTGAAAAGAGAATGCATTATAAAAAGCTGGAAAGCATAAATACGTTAAAATAAGAGAATGAACAACATATTCCCCTCCATCCAAAGATTTTTCTCTGGTAATACCTTTATGTATGTTGCTCTGACACACAAAGATGCCATATAATATATAAGTCAGTGGTCTGAATCACTTGTGGATCCATATGCCCAAATCTTCCTTTTTTTACATTTTGGTACTGTATATATGTGTGAGAATGTAGTATTGCTCTATTGTGCTGTTTGAGTTTAGCATTTTCTTTAGGATTGCGTTCAAAAATTTCAGAGGGTTTTATAAATAATTCTGATCTTAAAAAATAATTGTCATGATTTAATGATACTTAATTTTGTATTTCTGTTTAAGAAGATAACTTTTAGTCTATAAAATAAATTACTGTTCTGTAATAAATGTACTCTTCATATCTACTAGGTAAAGAGTTTTTTTAATGAAATCTGGTGTTTTCAGATTGATATTTAATTATATCACTAAATTCAATAGTGGTTATTTTGCCATATGCAAAGTAACTGATATAGTGGCTTGTAGTGGAATCTTTGGGAGGTGAACACTCATTAATAGGTTAGTAATCAGAATATTTGGGAATATCTGTGAGTGTTTATTGGGACAATACCATTTTCAAACAAAATGTTTGCTCATAAGACAGTTATCATCATCAAAACTAAGATGTTGAGTATGTTATATATCTCCCCTTAGCTTGTATATTTGATTTTCTAACATTTTAGAGATAATATGTGTATACATTAAGAAAGTACAATCATAGTCAGGTGCTGGTGACTCACACCTGTAATCCGAGCTACTCCGGAGACAGAGATCAGGAAGGTCACAGTTTGAAGCCAGCTTGGGCAAATAGTTTGTGAGACCCTATCTCCAAAATACCCAACGCTAAAAGGGCTGGAGGTATGACTCAAGTGGCTGCCTAGCAAGCCTGAAGCCCTAGTTTAAGCATCTACCACCAAAAAAAAACCAGGAAAACAAAATACAATCATGTCTCACTTGAAGATACAGACACATTATGACAAACACTTGCCAGGCAGCTTTGCCTTAGTAAATGTGATAGAGTGAACAGTACACAGACTAGACTGGCTGTGATGTCACTAAGCAATAGAGTCTTATGGGACCACCATCACTTTTGCAGTGGTGTATGCAGTCCATCTTTGATGAAAATGTTATGCTGTGCATGACTACAAACTGTTTAGTGACAGGTAACAGTATTTATAGAACAAAGTTTCTCAGGAAAATGTTTTATATTTTATTATTATTTCAGTTGTATCAGCTGAGTTCAGATTATCCTACAGTTCTTTTTTCAGTTGCATTATAGGGGACCTGTAAAAGAATATAAGTAAATCTTAGTTTTTTGTTCATGTTCTTCTCTGAGCCTTGTTTTTTTTATCTTAGAATAAGCTTATTTGATGAGTGTTGTGAAAACAATGTATTTTTATGAAAAAGAGTACCTACTGAAAGCCAGACATGGTGTTTCCTGCCTATAGTCTCAGCACTTGGGAAGCTAAGGCAGGAGGATTATGAGTACCTGGACTGTATATCAACATCTTGTTTCAAAAAAAAGCCAAAACTCAAAAGAAGTACAAATGGCCAGTAAATACATGAAGAAATGCTCAACCCCTGCAAATAAAAATGACTTTGAGATTTCACCTCACTCCAGTCAGAATGGCTGTCATCAAGAACATAGCAACAAATGCTGGTGAGGATGTGTGTGTGTGGCGGGGGGAAGGAACCCTTATGCGCTGTTGGTGGAAATGGAAGTTAGTGCAATCACTGTGGAAAGCATTATGGAGGTTCTTCAAGTAAGTAAATAGAACTATAACATATGATCCACTGATACCACTCCTGGGCATATATCTGAAGAAATGTGTAAGTCAGGATACAATAGAGACAATTGCACATCTATGTTTATTACAGCACTATTCACAATAACCAGGCTATGGAAACAGCACAGATGTCCTACAGTTGATGAATGGATTAAGAAAATGTGGCATTTATATATAATGGAGTATTGTTCAGCCATAAAGAAGAATGAAATTATATTATTTGCAGATAAATGGATAAAATAGAGATTATCATGTTGAGTTGAAGTAAGCCAGGTTCCAGTAAACAAGGGTTACATGTTTTCTCTCATGTGAAATCTAGTCTTAAAAGATAAGCATATACATAAGTATGGTTTTATGTATGTATTTACATATATATACATATGCATATATATGTAATGTTTGTAACAGTGGGACTGTTTGAGGAACTAGGGGGAGGCAAGAGAGGAAAACAGAATGATGGTGATTAATATTGAAATCCATTGCATCCATGTATGAAGATGGTACATTGAGACACACTGAAAGCTGTTGAATTGTGAGGGGGTGGTAGAGAGGATAGGGAAGTAGAGAGTAATAGAAAGGTTTAATCTGATTACAGTGTAGTCATGTGTGAAATACCATGGCAAACCCCTTTGAACAATGAATATGCACTTAAAAAAATGAAGGGCAGGAATTTGATTCCGGTCTTATTCATGGTGGGTACTAGTGGGAGGGGGAAGGGGGAATATGGTTGATGTATTATATACTTGTATGAAAATAAAACAGTGAAACCTATTGAAATTGTTTTAAGAAGAGGGAGAGAGGGATGAGGGGGAATGATGAAAGGAATGAATCTACACAAGGTGTGTTGTAAGCACATATGGAAATGTGACAATGAACCCTCTTGTATAACTGTATGTTAATTAAAATGTTAAAAACCAAAAGAAAAGCTATTGAAGTAAAAAACACCCAATTAAAATTTTTTGTTTTTACCCATCTATTAGGGAAAATGACTTGGAGGTCTTGGAGCATATTTGAATGGGTTCTATGGATTAGATGATAATATTGGATAAATGTTAATTTCCTCTTTATGATGATTGTAGTTATATAGGGGAATATCCTTGTTTGGAGGAAATTGACAGTGAAATATCAGGAGTAATGGGGTATTATGTCTGCAACTGATTCTTAAGTGGTTTTAGAAAAAAAGTACATGCATATATATGTATATTTAGAGACAGAATGATGGCATAGTTGTGATAAATTACTAACAATTAGGAAACCTGGAAGATGTATGAGACTTCTGTAATATTCCTAAAACTTTTCTGTAAGTTTAAAATGATTTCAAAATTAAAAGGACTGGATGGCTGGAAGGAGGTTGGGCAAATGTGTTAAAAGTTAAACTACTCCGTACATGGTGCTGTATTTATAGATATTTAAAACTGCAGGAGTCTTTTGAGATCTACCTTAACTCCATTGTTGGACAAATGAGGCTATTGTGGCAGATTGGACCTAATAATATTTTAACACTGACTTACTAAGTACTAACCAACATAATAACTAAAATATTTTGTTCAAGAGTCATGAACTTTATAAGGTTTGGTATTTTTATATTTGGTGGAGTAATCAGTGGTCCTCAGAAAATTCCTTGTCTGAGTATATTGCAACCATAGTAGGGAAGGAAAGGAAAACTTGAAGGGAAGTAGACTTTGAAATGAGTTACATGTTCTAATTAAAAATGACTGGTTGGGCTGCTGGAAGCTTGACTTACACCCTATAGCACCTGCCTCACAAATGTGAAACCCTAAGTTGAAAGCCTAGTACCAAAACAAAACAAAACAAAACAAAACAAAAAATAAACCCCAGCTTGTTGTTTTTTAAAAAATGGCAAGATACAAAATCCTATATCTTAAGTTACTTTCAAGACATCTACCAAATAATTAAGTAGTTCCAACTAGTGGTTGCTATTAGTGCTGTTTGAAGAATTTAAAAACTATAACCATTATGTAATATAATAATGTCCATTATTAATTATATATTATTATACATGTAATATATAATTACATATTGGCCCTTATTTATCTAAAGATCATTATCAAAAAATTTATCTTGTCTGGTTAGTACATGTGAAGAACAGGATTAAAAGTATAGGCTTGTTAGTGAGGAATCTTTATGGTTAGTGAGAATTAAGTGTTTTCTCTAATAAGAAAAAAATTGTGAAATCACTTGTTTAGAATAGGAAAAAAAAGTATATACCCAAAAATTTACTGTGATTCCTTTTATGGTGTTTGTTTTAGAAAATGAATTCATTTTGAATTGAAATTAGAATGCTTTATCTGAATAGTATTCTTTTGATTTATTTTCACTTTATAATTTGTAGTTTGTATTTGCAGCAAATAAAATTTTAAGACAGATTAACAATTTGATGCAGGTTTTCAGTTTATATTTATGGGCTTGCTCTGTGCATGCACCAAAACCACACACTGGTAATTGGATCACTACTACATTTAATTGGGCTTAATCTGAGTTAACTCCTAAAATTGTGACGAGAGTTTAGCTAAGCTGATTCATAAGCAGTGTTACGATAAGCATGCTTAACCACCTAACGCCTGTATTGATAATTTGCTTTATTTTTAAAAGTTAATTCTTAGTGGTATTAGTGTCCTGTCATTTCTTTAATCTCTGTACTTGAGCATAGTTTTCTTTTTTCTGTAATTGGAGATTGCTTGGTCATTGTCTTCTGAATATATTAAGTCCTGATAAGTAAGTAGTATAAACACAGCAGGATTGAGTTATTCTTCAAGTGAAAAGGAAAAATAATGTGTGATTTTCCACCTTCTTTCTAATACTTTAACACAGGATGTTGATTACTTGAGTTTGAGGCTTTTGGCAAAATGAAAGTGACGGAAGGAGGATAACATTTCATTACATTCCTTCATTTTAGTTCTTTAAAAAAACCAAATGTACTATGCATGAAGCAAGTCAGTTTTCCATTTATTAGTTATGTAAATTTGTATAACTTAGCAACCTCTCTCTCTCTTTTTGGGTGGCAGTGGGGGTAGTAGGCTTCATGCATGCTCTACTGCTTGAACCACTCCACCAGCCCTTTTTTGTGTTGAGTATTTTCAAGATAGAGTCTCTCACAAACTATTTCCCTGGACTGGCTTCGAACTGCGATCCTCCTGATCACTGCCTCCTGAGTGGATAGGATTATAGACATGAGCCACCTTGCCCAGCTAGCAACCTCTTTTAAACCATAGTTTGCTTGTCATTAAAATGGAGGAAAGCACTCCTACCGCATAGTGTTGGTTGAGTATTAAATAACATGTGTACGTACAAAACAATTCTAACAATTCTAGTACATGGTAAGACCTCTGTTCATTGTTATCTTAAATGCATTATCTATTATTTGGAATTATTTTGCAGAGGAAATAGGAAAGTTGAAGTGCTATTGATGTTCAGGTAACAAATCTATTATTAAAAATGGTTAGAATGCTGTTTGTATATAGGCAGATAAGAATAACTTTTTTAATATTGGTATTTGTTTTGTTTTAATAGGTATCAGCAGATGTTGCATACAAACTTGGTATACCTTGCTACAATAGCAGATTCTAATCAAAATATGCAGTCTCTTTTACCAGCAGTAAGTACCTTTAAAATAGTATGAATAGACAATCTTTGGAGTTACATATGGTGTAATATATTTTTGTTGATATTTGAGTTTTGTTTAGTAAATCCTGAATTACTCTGAGAACATGATCTAAAATGCTTTATTGCTTTGCTCTCATATTTAATTTGAATTAATTCACCTAGGATCATTTCCCTCCTTAAGGAAGTTATATCATTCACCTATCCACCTACCTATCTACCTATTTACTTTATTCTTAATTACACAGGTAATTTGTTAATATATGTGTAGTGTTTCACAGCAAATACCAACATCATATAACTTCACTAATAATTGCTTCAGTGTGCATTTCTAGCACATTGGACTATTACTTCATCCAACGAAATTAACCATAGTTTCTTAACTTCTTATAATGCCCAGTCTGTTTTCAGTTGAAAAACCAAGATGTTTGAATGTTTCCCTCAGAATCCAAACAAGATCCCCATATTGCATTGTTTGGTGTGTTAAGTCTTTTTTAATCTATATCACTTCTTTCTTTTAAATTTCCATTTAATTGTTGTAGAAACGGAGTCATATTTTATATAGATTTTCTCACATTCACTGGATTTGGCTAATGGTATCCTCATTGTCTTTTATCATGGTCCTCCATCTCTCCTATTTCATGTAAACTTATTAGAGAGGTTTAATTAGAATTAACATTTTTTTGTTAAGAGTATTTCATAATGGTGTTGTGTGTTTCCTTTTGGATCACATCAGGAAAAATGTTTGGCTCCATATTTAGCAGTGTAAGTTTGATCTGTGGGTTCAGTTGATACCAGTCAGGTTAATTTCTTCAAGTTCCCTGTTTTCCTTTTGTTAATTGTTTTCTTAGTCATTTATGTTTGTTGATTAAGTCCTTTATTTTACTTTGGGAGCACAGAATACTAAAATTCAAAATTTATAATTTTACTTGCAGTTATTAGCTGTAGTTGTATTTCTTTTTTGTGTGTCTGAGTTTGAGTTAGGACCTCAGTCCTTTTGGCTTTAGTTATTTTTCAGGTACGGTCTTGAGGTTTTTTTTCCTTGGGCTGGCTTCTGCTGAGATCCTCCTACTTTATTCCTCACATGTAGGTGGGATGACAGGTGTGCATCACCCCACACAGCTTTTTTAGTGACATGGGTTCTTATCAACCTTTTTGCCTGGGCTGGACTTGAACTGCAATCCTCCTGACTCTATGCACTGTGTAGCTGGGATTACAGGTGTGAGCCCCCATGCTCTGCCTACCTGTTATTCTTTATAGAAGTAAAAGCTTTCTTTTATCAACCTTTTAATTCTCCTGAAATTAGAGAGTCCCATAGGAAAGTCAGAATGAAAGCTTGGTTCTGTCCTTTTATCAGCTTTTAGACTTACCATGTTGGTCTTTAGAAACCTATAAAGATTTCCAATGTTTTTGTTTGTTTCTTTTTATTTGAACTTAGAAATTTTAATTTAATAAAACTTTTTTTGAGATGATGTTTCCCTGTGTTGCTCAGAATAGTCTTGAGCTTCTGAGCTCAAGTGATCCTCCCACTTCAGCCACCTAGGTGCTGGTACTACAGACCAGACTTTGATTTTTATACTTTTAATGTGTCTAAAGTCATTGTAGTCATTCTTTATGATGCTCAAATTATCTTTCTTTGATCAATAGACTCCTCTTCATTTGACTTCTGTACTCTTTTGCCATAACTATAGTATTCTTTTATAAGCTTCTTTACTTTCACAATTTGAGAGACCAGACTGATTATATTTTATGCTCCATGAAAGGGCCTTTTTTCTTTTTCTAAAATGAGGATTTGTATTTAGAGACCACAGTTTGAATGCTTGAGGCATCCATTATTACAAGATTTTCATTGTTTCTAGCCTTTTTTAGTGGTCACAAGTAGTAAATATATATTTTTTTTAAATATTGAGATGTTAGTGGTAGTTGTACTTTAGGAAATTATTTTTAATTTTGATTTTATATATTATTATCTCCTCTCTTAATCTAGAAAATCTTGATTCCTTAATGGTATAGTCCAGATGTTTATTTGCTTTATACTACTTTATATAAAAATACTTTAAATATAATCATACCAAGATTACCACTAACAGTAAGATGCTAGTCCTTAAGGTATTTTCTGCTTGGGGATATTTAATCAGTACATTTACTTTTGAACTTGTGATAATTTTTTGTGTGGCTCTTGCCATAAACTTCATTACCAGCTAGGTAGTATTTATTTTTGTGAATAGTGGAAGAAATAAGGTTATTTTTATTTGTTTCCATATGGATAGTTCTCTGTCTCAGCATTATATATTGGAAATAAAAAATTTTCTCTCTTTTGTTAGGTTGTTTATGCCATATATCAAGTGTCCATATGTGTGTGGGTCTTTGTGTGCTTTCTGTTCTGTTCCATTGGTCTGTTTTCACACATACCACAATCTTGTCACACTTGATATACATTAAAGAAGTTCTTCTTCCTCCCCCACCCAAAGAATATTCACACATTGGTCCTTTGCATTTCCATATACACCTAAACATCAGCATGCTAAGTTATATGCATGCATCCATGCATACATCCATAAGCCAGTTGGGATTTTCATTGAAATTACATGGACTTTCTTTTTTTTTCTTTCCTTATTTTAATATTCTAAATCCAGAATGAGAAATTACCTTGGCTTTAAATCAACTTGGGAAGAATTAATATTGAGTCTTCCAAATCATAAGCTTTCATATTTTCATTTATTTAGTTCTTTAATGTATGTCAAGGCAGCTTTATAATTTTCCCTTGTGAATATTTGCTCATGTCTCACTGGACTTGTTGTTAGATGTATTGTATTTTTTAGACCATTTAAAATGAATTGTTGTTTTTTAAATTTTGTTTTCTGAGTGCAGTTGCCATTTATATGGAAGTGCAATTGATTTTGAATCTCAAAATTTTGTTCACCCTTATTTCTAACAATTTTTTTTGTAGATACTTTCAATTTTTCTATTTTCACAATCTATCATTTGTGAATGAGGAGTTTTGTTTTTTTCTTGCCAATTCTTACACCTTTTATTTCTTTCTCTTGCCTTACTTCTCTGGCTAGGACCTCCAGTACATTCCTGAATAGAAGTGGTGATAGAGGACCTCTTGTCTTGTTCCTGATCTCAAAGGGAAAGTTTTCACTGTTTGACCATTAAGTATGATACTTGCTTTAGTATTTTGTAGATACCTTTTTGAAGTTCCCTTCTGTTTTTGGAGTGCTATTGAACGGATACAAAAATTATCAACTGCTTTTATTGCATCTAATGATATAATCTTATGCTTTTTCTTCTTTAATTTGTCAATGTGGTAAATTACACTGATTTACTGTTTAATGTTCAATCAGTATTGCATTCTTAAAACTAACCTTGGTCAGTCTTCTTAAAAAATTTCTGTATTTACTTATTAAAGTTTTGATCAGGATTTTTGCATCTTTTTTCATGAATGTAATCAATCTCTAATTTTTTTTTCTTATAATGCCTTTGTCTGGTTTTTGAGATCATGCTGGCTTCATAAATTGAGGTAAAGCTCCTTTCTGCTTTCCGTTACCTGTAAGAACATGCATCATGTGGTTCCTATTTCCTTTGTAAACGAATGGTGTACGCCTTTAGAAAAGCCATCTATGTTTACAGTTTTCTTTCCTGCTTTCTTTTTTGATGGTACTGGGACTTGAACTCAGGGCCCTTACCTTGAGCCACTCCACCAGCCCTTTTTTGTGAAGGGCTTTTTTATTTTTATGTTTCGAGATAAGGTTTCATGAACTATTTGTCTCCTGAATAGCTAGGATTACAGGCATGAGCCACTGGTGCCCGGCTGTGAGCTTTCTTAGTGAGAAAACTTTTATTTACATCTTTCTTTAATGATTATAGGACAATTTATATTTTATTTATTTATTTATGACAGTTCTGGGGTTTGAACTCTGGGCCTTGTGCTTGCCAGGCAGACACTCAAAACACTTGAGCCATGTCCCCAAGCTGTTTTTACTTGAGATATTTTGGGATAGGATTTCGCTATGAGTGCAATCTTTCTATTTCCATAGGATCTGCAGTGATTTTTTAAAAAATTATTTATGCCTTTTTATAAAAAATATTTTTGATCACTCTTGTCAGGAAGTGATTAATATTTTTAAAGTGTTTTTTAAAGAATTAATTTTTGGTTTTGATCTTTCTCTGTTGAAGCAGAATACAGCAGAATTTTTAAAGTTTTTGGTCTCAGAATCCTGTTATGTAGTTATTTGTTTAGAGGCAGGATGTCACTATGTAGCCGAGGCTGGCCTTGTGCCCTTGATCCTCTTGCCTCCTCCTCTTCCAAGCAGGTAAATGCATGCGCAGCCACACCTGGCTTAGGAAGGGATTTTTCTGCTTTTTTGGGTTTTTCTGGTTTTTTTTGTAATGCTGGGAATGGAACCCAGTGCCTCACCCATGCCAGCAAGCACTACATGAGTTACTCCTCCAGCTATACGTTCTCAAGAGCTTTATGTTTATATCTTCTGATATGAATTATGCATTTTTATTAGTTTTTAAATTAAATCTGAGAAATTCTAAATATTTGTGAGTTCATTTCAAAATGACAAGAATAAAACCTTTGCGTGTTTATCTAAATAATGTCTTTAAGGAAAAATAACTGTCTTTAAGAAAAAAATTTAGTGAGGTGAATGGCATCATTTTACATTTTTGCAAATTTTGAAATGTCTGACTTAAAGAAGCCGGCTGTATTCTTGTATCTTATTTGTGAATTTAGCCTATCATAATTGGTAGAAATAATAAAAGAAAATGGTCTCACACAAATATGTCATTGGGAAAGGGAAGACTATTTTAATAGCCTTTTCAGATTGGTGTGGATAATCTTGTTTAATATTACAACGGATCTCGGCTAGTATTTTTTTAAAAGCTTAGTTATAGTGTGGAATCTTGTATCTGTCATTTCTTTTATTCTAGCATGTTAAAGTCTATTGGTCTGCCTTATACTTTGAATAGATTTTTTTTTATTCATGC